TTGCCAGCTAGAACTGCAGTACAAATTGTACCAACCAAAAACCCCAGGGCTCGTAACCTGGAGATTGCATTCAGGTAAGCAATGGTGTGCAAGATCCTGGCAGCTGTGAAGATACGAAGGCACCAAATACCCCAAAGAGTGGGCCTGTCAGAAAACATGTACAACAAGGCGACAATCATAAAGATTGGGATGTTCTCCAGATCATTAAGATGAGCCCTGCAAATTAAAACACAGGAGGAAATTATGTTAATGCATTTTAAAGTGGATTTTCCAACTAAAATAGTATCTTGTGAGTGGTATTAAGTCCACCAATACTGGTCCCTCCATGATTTTGGTACAGGTTTAATAATAATTTATTGACCAAGCAATTTGTGTAAATCCCCCAGACTCTTATGAAAATTAGGAGGTATTAGACTCGTGTGGAGTAGCTGTAGTCAGGAGATGACATTGTTGNGCAAGTTAAAGAAATGTTTATTTGGGAATAAAACGAAAGAAAGCGTCACGCTCGATTGCGCCAATTTCGCTACTCGAGGACTATTACTTATAGTCCTCGAGTAGCGTAGCCAATCAAAATGCAGGATTTGCATTAGTCCACTAGTTGGGTGATACTAAGAAGGTTTAGCTAACTCTTAAGCCTTCACCAGTTTTGCATCAGATTAATCATTGTCTTCAGGTAAGTTTGTATAAGGACTCATCTAGCGCCTAATGAAAGAAAACTGCAAGCAAGCCCTCTCAGAGTACTCCAAGAGCAGCTGAGAGGAATTGTTCAAAGGTTTTTTTTTCTGACGTGCACTTTTATCATGAGCCCCTGGCTCAGGAGAATGGGTAACCACTTGCTGGCTGTGTCACGATGTTAAACAAATTATTACTATCACTATTGCTTCTAAGAAAGGAGCCTACAGGGCTTGTGCTCCATAATTCTGCTGAAGAATATAATACTCATAACACTCAAAGTCCTTAAGGCTTCCCCCTTCCCCCACCCCCACCACCCCTCCACACTCTTAGCCCTCCTTTTTCCAGCCACCTCACACTCCCTGCCCATGCCCTCTCCCCTAAATTAAGGACCTCTGGGTCCATCACTAAAATAATTGTAAACAGTTTAGTTATGAGGCCTTATTTGGGATTTTTCGTGATACAGACATTTAGATAAAACATTAACGGGATACAGCATATCTAGATCGGGTGAGACGGAAATTCGATAATTTGATAATTTGATAATACTCAGACCCCACCTAAATCAACAACAACCTAGGAATACCTTCGAACTCTCTCCACATCAGCATTTTGTACAACAGGTTTATCCTTGTCCTTCCCTCCATAATCTTCGGGGCTTGGAAGAGCCTGTGTTCAAATAGGTAGAAGAGGAAAGGCCAGTTCATCAATTATTTAATTTTTAAACGAGTTCGTAAGGGATGGCCTGAAACATAAGCTTAAACGTTGCATTGAGACCCAGAGGCAGTTTAGTTGGGAGGGGAGGAAATAAATCTGGCCAAATTTGAGCCGCCAAGTGTTTCTGTACTGCATGATTGGATTACGGGATAACATCAAAGTAACAAAGTCTTTGTTAGCAAGATTTGAAATTGGTTCCATCCCCTCGGAACAACTGAAATTCTCACATGACGCGCGATAAGTTTACACAGGTTTACATGACTGGCAACTTGTAGAGATCGGAACATACTTTGTTCTTGATACGGTGTCTTGCGGTGAAAAATGACATGGCCCAGGTTTTCAGCATAAGAATGCTGCCATAGAAGAGATATGCAGCAAGCAAATGATCGTCTAGCTTTAGTGTTACCATTTTGGAACTGGCGAGCGTCGTGCAGAAACCTTGATCTCTAGCGTCCTTGAACGTCCCGGTTGGGGGCCTAAAACCGAGCGGCCCCACTGTCAATTGCATGCAGAGTATCACGCCTGGCTGATCGCCATTAGAGTTTAGCAACTTTTAAACGAAGCAGTGAGTCTTCGATTTTGACGTTTCGTTACTTTCTATGACCAAAAGGGGGCTAAAAAACGAAAGATGATATTTGCAGATATCTGTGTTCGTTTACAACTGCTATCAGTTTGAACTGTCAGTTCACCCGCCAAAATCGAGTAATCTTTATAAACTCAAAGGGACAAGTTTTAATGGACCGTTATGTCTTCATGAAAATATTCTTGTCATCTCATCATAATTTGGCATCTCTAAATGGTGCAGCGTTTCAGGCAGTAGTTTACTCTTATGTGCAACTTGTTCAAGGCCTCACCTTGTTCATGATACGATGTCTTGATGTTAAAAGTGACATGACCCAAGTTTTCAGCATGAGAATGCTGCCATAGAAGAGATATGCAGCAAGCAAACGATCATCCAGCGTTAGTGTGACCATTATTCCGCAGCTTGCAAATGTTCGTTAGATAAACGGCTAGAAGATAAGCGAGTTTGCTGAGTCAGAGATGTCCGCTCAACCACCCAAGCGGTTGTGACTAGTCACGCGTCACGCGATCACGCGAAACTACTTTATATTGAACTATTATCGATAAAGTGAAACTCGTTAAAACGTGGCTTGGAGAAAACTTAATTTTCATTACTTATGCAGCTATACCCTTCCCAAATGGGCCATGAGGCAATCAATGCTCCCTGATAAATTAGACAGTAATTACATTGTTGCGCAACGTGTTGAAGATACGTTGTCGCGCAGAAAAACGCCTAAGTTTTACACAGAAATACCAATCCTCCGGGTCTCCCGGTCTTTTGTCACTTCTCGCAGGATCTAAAATCTCCTCGTTTTCTAGAAAAAGTATGGATTGTAAAATGATTATAGTGGTTTTAAAAATTTGTTATAGTCGGCTAAAAAAAACTGCAATTCATACTTAGGTACGGATTACTTTTTTGCGCCCATCGCGCCGTTAAGTGAGTAGACTACGAGTAGTCCCTCTTTCGCTTAGTCCATCGTGCGTGACGCGAAAGAAAACCGCGAGAGAAAAATGGCCGCGCGAAATCCTGGGGGCGAGGAGCCAGGATTTCGCGCGGCCATTTTTTTCTCGCGGTTTTCTCTCGCGTCACGCACGACGGACTAAGCGAAAGAGGGATCACTCGTAATCTTATAAATGGGGGGCGGGTACAAATCAGCTGGCCTCGCCTCCATGCCACCATGTCATGATTTCTCGCAACAGTTTGCTGCAGTGCAACTAGCTTTGTGATTCTTTGGTTTCACTGTTTTATACAGTCAAGAACTCCTACTCTATAGAAACCACGAATGAAGTATATATCAGTCGCTTTCCGTGTCTCTTCTATTATTTATTAACTCAGTTCCAGCCTGTATAGCCAGGAGGGGGCTGTAATCTCTACAGAAAGTTACATAAAGAGAAGATTGGTGTCATAAGAGAGGAAGCTCTAGAAGTTTCCCATCGGGGGGGACTCCCATGTAAAAAGGACAGCGGTGTTGTTTTAGAATTGGTACCTCTTAAAGGTGAAAAAAGTTTCGAGCCATGCCTACAAAACAGGATCTTGGTACCTCTTAGCGGTTTTTTTCAAAATTTCCGCGCCCCGTCCTTCTTTTTATGGGAGTCCCCCACGGGAGTAGTTTACTAGTCTTCAGCACACCATTGGTTTTTTTTTAAGACTTAGGCCCGGTTCATACGTCGCATTTCTGCCGTGCCGAATTCAATTCAATTAAGGTAATTCCTCTGAAATAAAAGTGACAATAGAGTTTTGTTCAAACTTTGTCCACTGAATATTTGTCATATGATAACTTCAATTTTGAAATAAAAAGGGGGGTGCCCATGCTCATTAAGGAGCAGTGAGGCATTGAAAATGCCCCGTTTTGGCATTATTTAATGCTTATGATAAAAACACAATCCCAGTAATTGTAAAATCTTTGTGAGCCCAGACTCATAAGAACACGCATTAAACTACAGTCAATACATTGTGTCGGACACAAATAAACATTTTAAGTT